TTATAAGTCCAGTCTATTGGGTTTCTTGATGGTAAGGCCACTTCTTGTCCTTGTACCATTGCAAGTTGATTCTTGTTCTTGAGGCACTACTGTAGGAGCCTTGCTCACATGGTCTTGCTCGTTATCCATATTTACTGTAGTTCCAGTGGGCTCATCTGCATGGTGTTCATCTGGAAGTGGATGCTTGGGTTGTGGAGTTTGTTTGATGTGTCGTCTGTTTCTTCTTAGGATACCTCCATCTTGTGTTTCAACTATATATGATCGAGGTTCCTGGGATTTCTCGACGACTGTAGCGGGTGTCCATCTTCCAGAAATGTGATCTTGAACTCGCACAGCTTGGCCTGGTAGGAGTGCTTGTTGGTCTTTTGCTCCTCGGTCGTAATACTGCTTGTGTGTGTCTTGCTTCTTCTTGAAGTTTTCATAGACATCTTGTTTTTGCCCTTCCCTTGTGGGCAGGTGAAGGGATAAGTTACTCCTCATCTTCCTCCCGTTCAGAAGCTCTGCTGGGCTTGGCAACTTGCTATCCAGCGGTGTGGTACGTAGTGTTAACAATGCCATATCTGGATCCTTGTTGTTTCTTTTTGCCTTGTCGATGGTGTTCTTGACGGTTTGGATTATTCTTTCAATGAATCCATTTGATTGGGGATAGTGGGGTGAGCTTGTTATATGTTCAAATTCCCAGTTCGAAGCAAACGTTGCAAATTCTTCTGAGCTATTTTGGCGTCCGTTGTCACTATATACTTTTTCAGGAACTCCATACTCAGAAAACAAGTTCTTTAATCCTTTGATCACAGCAGTGCTTGTGACGTGCATGGGCATTTTCCTGATAACTGGAAACTTTGAGTAGTAGTCCGCTATAATCAGGTAGTCATTTTCTCTATAATGGAAAAGATCTGTTCCAATATACTGCCATGGTCGTGTAGGTAGTTCATGTGGGATGAGAGTTTCCTTTGTTTGTGACCTTGACGTTTCTTGGCATATGGAACACTGCTGAACTATGTCTTCAATGTCTCTGTTGATTGAAGTCCAGTACACACAGTCTTTGGCTCGAAGTTGGCATTTCGCGATGCCTTGGTGTCCTTCGTGGATGCGATCGAGCACAAGTTTCTGCATGGACATTGGGATTATGACTCTGCTGCCTTTTATCACAAGCCCGTCTTCAATAGATAGCTCGTCTCTGAAGGACCAGTATGGTTGCAACATTCTCGGTAGGTCTTTCATCTTTTCTGGCCATCCTTGTATAATGATTTCTTTCAGTTCATGCAGGATGACATCTCTTGAGGTTTCCTGTCGAAGTGTGACCAGTTTCTCGTTGCTGAATGTAACAAAGTTGATCTGTATGTCTAGACCAATATGTTGATTATCCGTTGATGGCAAGCGCGATAGACCGTCTGCTAGTAACAGGTCTTTTCCTGGCTTGTACCGGATTGTGATATCATAGTGCTGCAGCCTCATCAGCATACGCTGCAGTTTGGGTGGTGCGGCTGTCAGATTCTTTAGCTGAATCATTTCTAGTGGTTTGTGGTCACTCTCCACCTGGAATGCTTTGCCGTATACATAAGTATGAAATCTTTCACATCCAAATACCACTGCAAGTAGTTCCCTTTCGATATTGGCATAACGTTGCTCTGTTTCAGACAGAGACTTGGATGCATAAGCGATAGGCTTATCATCTTGCACCAATGCAGCACCAATACCCTTTTGTGATGCATCTACTTGTATGACTGTTGGTTTGTTTGGATTGAAATGTGCCAGTGTTGCATCTGTGCACAGGATATTCTTAATATGTTCGAATGCCTTCTTGTGGGTTGGTGACCATGTAAAGTCTACATCTTTTTTTAGGAGACTTCTGAGTGGTGCAGTTTCATCAGCCAGGTTTGGAATAAATGGTGACATATATGTGACCATTCCCAAAAATTGTTGCAGCTCTGTAACATTTGTTGGGCTCGGCAGTGCTTTAATTGCTGATACCTTGTCTGGATCTGGGTGAGAGCCTTCCTTGTCGTAAACAGTTCCGAAGAATTTCACTTGTTCTTGCTTGATCACACACTTTGCACTGTTGAAAGTTAATCCTTTCTGCTTGGCAATCTTGAGGAGGTTATGTCATGCTCCTCTTCAGTTTTTCCAAACACAACTACATCATCAGCAATGCCAATGGTACCAGGACAGTTTTCAAGGATCTGATCCATTTTTTGCTGGAAAACATCTTGTGACATCACCAGGCCAAAAGGCATTCTGAGATATCTGTAGCGGCCAAAAGGAGTGTTGAATGTAGTCAGGAATGAACTAGGTTCATCAAGTGTGACTGACCAATAGCCATTCTTTGCATCAAGTTTGCTGAAAATTTTTGCGCCTGCAAACTTGTGTGTGATTTCCTCTTGTGTAGGTGTTTTGTGATGGCTTCTTTTTATGGCTTTATTCAGGTCCTTTGGATCTAAGCATACGCGCAGGCTGCCATCCTTCTTTATGGTGCAAACCATGCTGTTGACCCAATCTGTAGGTCCCGACACCTTTTTGATAACTCCTACTGCCACCATGTTTTATATGTTGTTTTGTTACTCCATTTGAGGGGAAAGGTGAATAAAATACGGAACTCTGCTGAGCTACACACATATATTCTGGAGGAGTGTACAACACTAATGTTTACATAAGGGTTACGTACGCATGCAATATATATAGAGGGAGCCGTTACTAATATTATTCTATAAGGTAAATAGGATACATAATTATAGTAAGATAATTTATTAGTGTGGAGGCTTGACCAGAAAGATTGCCATCGTTTATACAAGAAGGTCTTAAAGTGTGGGTAATAATCCGTGGTTGGGATACGTGAGAAGCGTGGTTGGTATGATGTGGACATAGCAGCGTGGCGTGCTAGTGTATCTGCCTGTTCATTGCCGGGGATTCCAACATGGCTGGGCACCCAGCAAAATTTGATTGTTTTATGGCGTGTGGACAGGTAGAACAACCAGTTCTGGATCTTACAAACAAGGGGGTTGGTGGTGTGTATTGACTTTATGAGAGTTAATGAGCTACGGGAGTCAGTAAAAATTGTAAAAGAGGAAGAGGAGAGTGAATATATGTGTTTTAGGGCAAAAAGGAGTGCATACAGTTCAGTAGTAAGGACACTGGATTCAGGAGGAAGGGAGTATTTGAAAGTACGAGTTGGGAATATTACTGCAAAACCAGCACCAGAGGTGGATTTGGAGCCATCAGTATATACGTGTATACTAGAGGAATGGGTGGAGACATGGTCAAGGAAATGGATGAGAAGGACAGTAGGAGGAATATTTGATTTTGGTGGGTCGGGGAAAACAGAAGAGCAAATATGGGGGTGAGGTATAAGCCATGGAGGGACGGAATGGACAGAGAACGGGAGAGGTTGGAGATGGGGGAAAGGGGAATGGGAGAGGAGGGTATCCATGCGAGTGGAGAAAGGAGTAGGTAAGCGTGGAGATGAAGCTAAGGTAGGAAGTAGGGATTGTGAGATAGTTTAGTGAGGGGAAGTTGGTGGAAACGAACATAACATCGGAGTGAGAGCAGGGCACGACGTCGAGATAGAGATGGTATGCCTGATTCAGTATACAGGCTCTCAACTGGAGAGGAGCGGAAGGCGCCTAGTGCTAAGCGAAGACCACAGTGATGGATTGTGTCAAGATGGGCAAGGAGAGAAGTTGAGGCAGAGGAGTAGATATGGCATCCATAATCAAGAGTGGAGAGGATCAAAGTAACATGAAGATGAAGAAGAGTTTTGCGATCTGAGCCCCATGATATATGGGATAGAGTTTTTAAAATTCGAAGGCGGCGGAGAGCTTTTTCTTTAATGTGTAGAATATGGTCTCGCCAGGTCAGTTTGGAGTCAAAAATGACGCCTAGGAATTTGCCAGAGGAACGGCATTGGAGTGGAGTGCCATATAGGAAGAGTGGGGGTAGGGGATTTACACGTGAGCGAGAGAAAAGGATGGAAAAAGATTTAGAGATAGAAAAGCGGAAGCCATGGTTTGTGGCCCAGGAAGATACTGATGAGATTGCAGATTGAAGAAATTGGTAGAGATTTGGTATGGATGTGCCAGATGCATAGATGGTTAAATCATCAACATATAGTGATGACCGGGCTCCTGGTGGTAAAACTGAGACAATATCATTAACAGCTAGAAGGAATAAAGTGGTACTGAGCACACTGCCTTGTGGGATACCTTCGATTTGAGGAAAGAAAGATGATGTGGCAGAAGCAATTTTGACCTGAAAAGTGCGTTGGGAGAGGAAAGACTTTATGAAGACACCCATGTTTCCACGTATGCCTAGAGAGGACAATTGTTGGAGAATATGGTACCGCCATGTCGTATCATATGCTTTTTCTAGATCAAAAAATATAGCTAGTACGGATTCATGGTGTGCAAATGCGGATGTAATATATGTCTCAAAATGAGCAAGGGGGTCAGCTGTGCTTCTGGCACGGCGAAAACCGAATTGGGAAGGAGAGAGAAGATTGTGAGATTCAAGATACCACATTAAGCGGAAGTTCACCATTCGCTCTAATAGTTTGCACAAGCAGCTAGTTAGTGCGATGGGGCGATAGTCTTGAGGGAGGGTACCCGATTTATTGGGTTTCAGGAAGGGAAGGATAAGAGCTTCTCGCCAATTAGAAGGAAAATTTCCTGATGTCCATATGTGGTTGTAAATTTTTAATAGGAAGGATAAGGAGGAAGATGGGAGTTGCCGGAGCATACGGTAGTGAATACCGTCAGGGCCTTCATGAGTGTTGCGGCACGATTGTAGGGCAGTAATGAGTTCAGAGGAAGAAAATGGGGCATTATAGGACTCAGCGGAGGATGGGGTGAAGGTAATGGGGGTACGTTCTTTGGTGGTCTTCATAGAAGAGAAGTGTGGAGAAAGGTGAGAGCCACTACTGACCTGGCTGAAATAATCACCCAGTTCATTAGCGACTTGGAGAGGATCAGAAATGAGGCTATCTCGAATATGGAGGACGGGGGCAGGATGGGGGGGATGTTTGCCTGATAGTTTATGGATTCGTCGCCATACATTAGAGATAGATGTAGAGGATGTAATTGATGAAACATAATTTCGCCAGCTATTTGTTTTACTATTCCGGATTGTACGACGAAGACAGGCAGATGCTCTTTTAAAGGAGATAAGGGCTGATAGTTGATTTGGAGTACCTCTCTTGTAGCGGTAACTGTTCCAGGCTGCACGTTTTAAGCGAAGTGCTTTAGTGCAATCAGAATTCCACCATGGAACACATTTAGAGGTATATGGTCTTGAGGTTCGAGGGATAGCTGTATGTGCAGCTCTTAAGACTGTAGTTGTGAAACATTGTATCATTTCTGAAATGGAGGTGAGGGAGGATGGAGGGGTATGAATAGCAGAGAGTGAAGTGAAAGTAAGCCAGTCGGCTCTATCAAAGCACCAGCGTGGGGAGTTAGGAAGTGGTACGTATGAAGTAGGAGAAAGGAGAACTGGAAAGTGGTCACTATAGGGAAAGTGGTCTAAGACTGACCAGTGAAAATCTATATGAAGAGAAGGGGAGCATAGAGAGGTCAATGCATGAAAAAGATTGCGTGAGTAGTATCAAGTGTGTGGGCGATCTGAATTTAGAATAGTAAGGTCAGCTGTGGAGAGGAAGCGCTCTAGAGATCGGCCTCGGGAGTTGGTAATAGAATCACCCCAAAGAGTGTGGCGGCAGTTAAAGTCGCCTACTATGAGGAAAGGTGGTTGAAGTTGGGAAATTAGATTTTCAAAAGCAACAAAGTCAATGGGGTGGGAAGGGGAGAAGTAGACTGAAATCACTGTGATCCAACGATGAAGGAAGATACGAATAACTGTACAAGGGACATTGGTTTGAAAGGGTGGTGTGGCATAAGGTGTTTTCTGATTGATAAGTATGGACGAGACATAAAGGGAATGTGGGGAAGAGACAAAATGATAATTGGAGATTGGTATTGGAGGATGTGTAAGAAAGGTTTCTTGAAGGCATACAATAGATGGGTTATAAGAGGAAAGGATATGACGAAGGTCAGGTCTGTGGGAGCGGAAACCGCGAATATTCCAATGAAGGATAGTTATACTTTCGTTGATTTAGTGATATAGATTGCAGTACGTGTTGGAGACTTTGAGGGGGAATCAGCTAGAGGGTGGGATAAGGACTGAGAGGTTTGAGATGGGAGAGATGTGGGAGTTGGTGTTCTATCAGGAGGGGTATTAGGAGATGGAGGGTCTGAGGAAGGGGATACTTGTGACATAAGGGATTCACGTGTGTATCCAGGAGGGAGTGGAAGGGATATAGGGGATGGTGGGAGGGTTAATGTGGGCTGGGTTGGGGTCGGGGTCGGGGGGGATGGGCTGTGTTGGGAGGGGGTAGGAGGATAGGGTGTAGGGGGGATATCGTTAGGAGGGGGATGGATATCAGCAGTTACTTGGAGTGTGGAAAGAGCAGGGGTTGTAGGTTGAGTGTCAGTTTGCATTAAGTAATCTTGAATATTTTCAATAGTTTCTTCTGAGGAGTTGGTTGGGGAGTTGTGGGGGATAAAGGATTTCTTGTGAGGGGGGGAAGAGAGGACTGGTGTCTCAAGAGTAGGGGCAAAGGATGGTGGAGGTGATTGTGTGGTAGGGGAAGAGGGGGTGGAACGTTTGTTCTGTCTGTTACGGGGAGTGCGAGGAGGGAGAGGGGAAGGTGTTGGGGTTGTAGTGGTGATTGGAGTATCTGTATTAGAGATTGGAGTTTCTGGATTTAGGATGGCAAAAGAGTTTGACTGGGGAAGGTAGGAGGTAGAAGTGGGGGGGGTTAGATGTAGGAGGGGTGGGTTTAGGAGAAGTGTTAGAATGAGCAGTATTACTGGAGTAAGGAGTAAGAGAGAATCCACGTCGACGTGCTTCCTGTCTGGCTTCACGCAGTGTGAGTCCAAGTTTGAATCTGAGAGTTGCTACCTCAGATTCAAATTTGTAGGTGGGACAGCCCCTATAAAATACATTATGGGGGCAGCGACAGTTGGCACATGTGCGTGATTGTGCAGAGCAGTTAGATCGGGTATGGCCAGGTTGGGCACATAATGGGCATCTGGCTGTGGAACGGCAGTGTTTGGCTGGGTGTCCTAGACGCCAACAATTTTGGCACTGACGTGGAGGAGGTTGGTATGGACGAACAGGGAGTGATTCTCCTATGTAGACGTTAAAGGGAAGGTCATGTCTACGGAAGGTAATTTTGGCTATGTTAGTGGGTTTCTTTCGATGACCTCTGGGGGGGATGGAATAGCATTGTACTGATGTTGCATCGTAGTCTGTGAGACAGGCAAGTAGATCTTCTCCACAATCTGACCAATCTTTGTCATAGATTGGGCAATTTGCTGGTGAGATTGAGACTGTTCCGGTGCAAGTATTGAGGGTTGGATGGGGTTCTGCTAGGATGGGGTTACCATATTGGTCAGTTAGTTTTGTTAATGCTATGGCTTGGTTTTCGGATGTTACTGTTACAAGACGGGAGCGGTCGGGTCGGCTACGGAAAGAGACTTTACCTACTTGTTTTTGGAGGCTTTGTTGGAAGAGAAGGGTGTTGTCAGAGTAGGGAGCTGTGGGAGGGATCACGAAAAATCGGTCCCATTTGGCTGCACTGAAGAGAGTATTCAAGATTGTTTTAGAGATAGGGGTGGTAGAAGGGCGAGGGCGTGACGAAGATGGAGTAGTGTTGATGGAGGTAGTGTTATGGAGAGGTGGGCTATAAGGCTGTAAGGTATTAATAAGGGAGGATGGGGTGGTTGATGTTGGAGGTTGTGGGGGTAGAGGTGTTGAAGTTGGGCATGCTGGGAGAGTGGAAATGTTCCTTGAGGGTTGATTATTGGCTACTGTACTAGTAGGCATTGGTGAAGGGGTAGTTATTGCAGTGTTCGGAGCCGTGGTCAAAGGAGAGCCTGGGGTCGGGGAATCCGGTGGGTTTACTTCGTTGGGGCTATTTGATAAAGGGGCAAGCCTCATTGCCCCTAACAGTGGAGATATATTTTCATTACTGGCCATGGGAAGCCTGGATTATGTTGGGGATAAAAACAGTCCACCCCTCAGGGTCCCCTTGAGGGGTAAGGGCTAGATAATAAATCAGGGGAATACCGTGCCCATGGCTCCCTCAGGCCGTTCAGGACTGGCACAAAGTCAGCCTTTCATCCTTTCAGCACGGCTCTCACACCTTAGGAGGTGGATAGCAGAAGGGTTTGGTGAAGGGACAGAAACAAAAGTGGGAAGGGAAAAAAAAGACCATGCATAATTAGTTGAGTCGAGGGCTGAGTCCCAAGGTTGGGGAGTTCCCCATCATTGGGTCCCAGTCTCCGTCTCCTAAGCCCCCCCACGACAACAACGGGCAAGGGATTGGGGGGGTGATCATATGACAAGTGATTGTAGGGGTAACATGAGATCTTCTGCTGTATTAGTTTTGGTTTGACGAGAGAATTTCTTGAAAGTATATATCAGTTGTGATCTTTTTAAATTTGGTATGATCATTTAGTATGTCAAGCAATTTATGGTGGTAGTCACATTTGTTTAAGATGACAATTCCACGACCCTTGTCTGGTTTGGTGATTATTATAGTCTTATCATTTTTAAGTGATGTTTTATATGTTGTTTTGTTACTCCATTTGAGGGGAAAGGTGAATAAAATACAGAACTCTGCTGAGCTACACACATATATTCTGGAGGAGTGTACAACACTAATGTTTACATAAGGGTTACGTACGCATGCAATATATATAGAGGGAGCCGTTAGCAGGCTCCTGCTCTAGTACCACTCTGGGGAAAAAGCCTTGTGCTGGCTGCATGAGAAAGCACGGGGGAAGCCCCTCAGTTGTCGTACTCCCTGCTACTGTTTTGTATATTTGAATATTTTATACTTATTTTTTTTTGTGTGTGTTTTTCTGTTTTTTCAGGGACCATGTACATCCGGACCCCCAGCTTCACCCTCTGAACATGACAGTGAAGATGAATTTGACTATTCCTCTTTAGTCATCTAAAGAGGAAGAAGAAGAAGAGAGCAAAGAGGGGCACCGGGAGGCGGGTAAGTGATTTTTTTGTTCTATTAAAATCACACATACTCATACCACATCCTACATGCATTTCACATATCATTGACAACATATGTCACACCACACACATAACATGTATCTGAACAAACACACACACACAACACTCAGTTTCTTACATATATTTTTATATTGTCTATTCCCAGCCACCACACAAAAGTACAAGAGAAATATTAATATTGTATTCCTCATTATATATTTTCTGAGCAACTGATAAATCAAACCATACGTGACTGATTTTCTTTGAATTTACAAAACTAATTTTTTTATCTCTTATTTCAGGTTGAGGATTTCTGGAAAGGAGGGGGACCATTTCACCAATTCAGGAAGTGAAGCTGCTGTTTTGTATATTTGAATATTTTATACTTATTTTTTTTTGTGTGTGTTTTTGTTTTTTCAGGGACCATGTACATCCGGACCCCCAGCTTCCCCTCTGAACATGACAGTGAAGATGAATTTGACTATTCCTCTTTAGTCTTCTAAAGAGGAAGAAAAAGAAGAGAGCAAAGAGGGGCACCGGGAGGCGGGTAAGTGATTTTTTTGTTCTATTAAAATCACACATACTCATACCACATCCTACATGCATTTCACATATCATTGACAACATATGTCACACCACACACATAACATGTATCTGAACAAACACACACACACAACACTCAGTTTCTTACATATATTTTTATATTGTCTATTCCCAGCCACCACACAAAAGTACAAGAGAAATATTAATATTGTATTCCTCATTATATATTTTCTGAGCAACTGATAAATCAAACCATACGTGACTGATTTTCTTTGAATTTACAAAACTAATTTTTTTCTCTCTTATTTCAGGTTGAGGATTTCTGGAAGAGGAGGGGACAATTTCACCAATTCAGGAAGTGAACCCCTTCCCCCTCTGAGGAGATATTTTTAAAGATCAC